CCTGAAACTTCCACTAGTGTGCAGAGTACTTCACCTCTCCTCGTAGCTCTCCAAGATTTGCATATCCAGGGTCATTGGAATGCCCAGAAGAATCAAGGAACTTCTGTGTCCTATTCATTTATCCAATTATTTGTTCATAGTAATAGTGATTTAGAAAAAAAAAAGGGGGGGGGAGAGAACTAGTGCTTTTAGAGAATAAGAAAAATGAAGATTTTCTGCTGAGAATTCTCCCTCCAGCTCCCATTCTGAAGTGTAGAGGCAGAAGGGCAAAAGAAGACTGACTGCTCCACGATAACCCTGAGTGTCTAGACAGGTCTAGGTGTGAATGGTAGCCAAACTATCTGAATACTATTAGGGTCAACATATTCCTGAGTTTCCACTGAACCTGCCACACAAAAGGAGAAAATCAGAATGGCAAAGTTTCTGCTGAGAATTCTTCCTCCAGATCTCATTTTTGAGTGCCTCCATACACTGAGTGTCTAGACAGGTCTAAGTGTGAATGGTAGCCAAACAATTATCAGTAGAAAATCTTCATTTCTCGTGTACCCTGAAATACCTCAATATTAATATTCTTCTAAAAGTTTACTTCCAACTTTTTAAATTTTGTAGTATATGGTACAGTTTCTTCAACCAACCCCTAATACTAAAAATTAGGGGGAAAAAAAGAAAATTAGGGACCAGCAGTTGGCGTAATGGCTATGTCTCTGGACTCCCATAGTTCAAGTCAATCGTAGTTCAAGTCCCAGACCTGGTGGCTTAAACTCATGCCAGGTGCACATACATACATGCCCAAGATCCTGAGAGGAGAACAGAGGAGAAGGGATTATGGCATGGCTATCCTCCCTGGGTGTTGATTTCTTGCTTTCTATTTCTCTGTCCTTCTCTCTGTCTTTCTGGCGAGCGCACACACCCTATAGCAAATACCTCTTCTAAAAAAGAAAAAGGAAAGAAAAAATGCATGGCCCATCAGATGACTAGAAATCACCTCAGAGTCACAAGAAATATAAGAAATGAAGAAAATACCTCTACCCTAAGAGAAAAGAATAACTTCTCTTTATCCACAGTTCAATAGAACTCATGGAAATGTCTGATAAAGAATTTAGAAAAGTGACAAAACTAACAGAATGCAAGAGAAGAGAGATAATGAACTCCAGAAGAGACAGGAGAAAAGAGCTGACAAGTTCCAGAAGGTGAGGAAGTTCTGGTATGATCTTAAAAAGGAAATACACACCATAAAAATGAACCAAATGAAGGGGAACCAGCAGTTAGCGTAATGGCTATGTCGCTGGACTCCCACATAGTCGACCGCGGTTCGCGTCCCGGACCCAGTGGCTTAAAACTCACGCCAGGCGCCTGTGCGTGCATGCCCAAGATCCCGAGAGGAGAATGGAGGAGAAGGGATTGCGGCGTGGCCATCCCCCTCTGCGGGGTGATTTCTCGCTTTCTGTCTCTGTCTGTCTGGTGAGCACACGTGCCCTATAGTGAAAACCTCTCAAAAAGAAAAAAAATAAATAAAAAGAACCAAATGGAACTGTTAGAGATGAAAGCTGTAATACAGGAAGTCAAATCCTCCCTTGAAAGTATTGAAAGCAGATCATACAGAAAATCGAATTTCAGATAAAGAAGACAGAATCGCTGGACTAGCAAAATTCACCATGGATTTTGAGAGAATAGCCCAAAAAAGTGAGAATAATATACAAAAAATACTAGATACCATTAAACATTCAGTCAGATAATCAGTATCCCAGAAGGTGAAGAGACTCATAAGAGCATTGATAATCTATTCCATGAAATCCTGGAAGAAAACTTTCTAAGCCTAGCAAGGCATTCAAAAATCCAGACCCAGGAAATACAAAGGACCCCAAATAGAATCAACCCAAAAAGATCTTATCCAAGACACATTATCGTCAGTTTGACCAAAACGACAGACAAAGACAAGATACTCAGACTGGCACGAGAGAAAAGACAAGTTACCTACAAAGGATATCCCATCAGGCTAACAGTGGACCTCTCATCAGAAACAATGCGAGTAAAGAAAGAATGGGAAAATATGTTCAAAGTGTTGGGTGAAAAACAACTTCAAGAATACTATACCAAGCAAGATTATCCTTCGTATGGGAAGAGAAGACAAGAACATCCTCAGATAAACAAAACCTGGAAGAATTTACCGACACCAGACCAGCTCTCCAAGAAGTTCTGAAGGGAGTGCTATATCAGGAAAACTAAAGTTAGACACACAGAAGTAAGAGTTCAAAAACAACTAAGAAAATGGCCAGCTTAATGGTAGGGACAAGTTCAGAGTAGAATGTTATTTTCCAGGATTTAAATGGAAAGATTGAACCACAGCACAGGAGACTGAACTGGTGAAATAAAATTGAATGACTTTTGACTAAAACTTCACTGATCTTTTATGTACTGTTTTCCAGAGTTGAGGATTTTTGTCTTTACTTGACTTGTTGACAGGTTCATGTACCTACTATTTGAACAGAATCCTAACCTGTTTCCTGGCTTTAAGTACTAAGCAAAGTTCTCTTTTTTTAATTTTTATTTTTGAAAGCTAAAACTACCTTTCTTGAAATTAAAAACTGTGTTAAAAAATACCTATTTAATGACCACAGTAAGCTATATAGCCTCACCTAGGTGCTACTTTAAAGTATTTTCATTCTACTCACAGAGTTTCGTGCCTAAAGTCAAGCATGTATTCATAGATATGTACATATCAATTGAACTTGCTATTGAAAATAGTTAGATTAACTAAGATATTTTGTGAATCAATAAAATTTGGAGGGGGAGAAATGGAAAGCAGCTGTAGATACCAGAGACAGTGTGAGAGGAGGGTGGGAAATGGCACAGAGGGTGAGAAATGGAGATGGGAGATATATATATATATATATCCCCACACACATACATACATATGAAACAAGAAATGGAAAATTATGTGTTGACAATAACATGTATGATTAAGCCACTATACATTGTATTCTGGATGGGAAATCACATATTGTATGCTTAATGATCTTCAGTGAATGTTAAATAAAAAAATTTTTTTTTAAGTGAGGTAAGTTTTATGCTCTTAGGGAACTTACATTCTGGTGTGAATAAAAGTGGGTTAGCATTTAGACAAATGAGTAAACAAGATAATTAATAGTCCACAGTAAATGGCATTAGGAAAATAAACAGAGTGATGTTATAGTAATTAAGGAATAATTGAGAAGAGAAACATCTTAGGTAGGTTATTACCCAGGCAAGCTTCTCTGAAAGCATGGCTATTGCAGATGCTGACTACCTTCTCTGACAACAACTTCAGCTAAGCAGAGCCACCATACCCAAAAATAAAGCACATTTTCCTGGGATAAGCTAGATCCAGAGACTGCTTGAGATGGGTATACAAAGGCCTAGCACTTTCCTCCACCTCCGGTCAGCTCTGGGTAGTCATTCAAGCTGTAGAATTCCTTGTGGGATTGACTTTATTGTTACTGTACCACAGCCCAACTATTCTGTCCCAAATCTGCATCGTTCCCTTCTTGGGAAGAATGTAAACTTCTTGTTTGCTAACTTCAGTCTTAGAGTATATTTCCCCCAGGAACCTAATTAGTGATTATTGGCAACCAGAGTTGACTTAGAAAGCAAATGATAAGATGAAAGGTAGACTCTGGTACAGACTCTGGTCAGTTCAGTGTTCCTAGATGGTGAACTGGGATGGTATATCAGAGTGAAAAAAATGCAGTATTTGGTGATGTGCATCAAACATTTGAAAAATATAGGAGAATTAGTAATGATAAGGACCAGAATTGGATGTCTGCTTTGGGGAAAGCTGAAACCCCTAAGTATAGGCAATAAAAGGCTATATGTAGTTAACAATCATAGCTAAGTATAAAATTGTAAAATTTAGTGAGCCTGTTAGGAGGCATATAGAATCTTATCCCCAGCAGCCAAAGAGCAGAAAATGCTAAGAACTAAGCCCCAGACTTAGTCATAAGAATAGGAGAGCTCTAGAGAAGGTTAAATTACTAATCTATACAGGTCTGCTATGCCAGGGTTGGGCCTTGTTTGGGAGGAATGTCACTGAGACATAGGATGGGAATTTAGGACTCAAAAATCTTGAGTTTCATTTTCTCCTAAACAGTCTGCAAAAATTGCTCACTTCTCCCTATTAGGAAGTAGCATTCATTTTTCTTTTTTGTTAAAGATGATGTAGTGGCCTCCACCCCAGAAGACAGTCCACACTCCTTTCTGGCCACTAGGGAAATGAAAAGTTACATCACACTATCTGGTAGGCACCCTCCAAGATAAACCCAGTGAGTGACCCATATGTCCTGATTTTCATATGTTTGAATAGGGTTAACCAATGACTGCAGAAGTGACATGACTGCCTTCTGAGGCTAGATCATAAAAGGCACAGAAGCTTACTCTGGGGGAAGTCAGGATACCCAAGCCGTCACCTAAGTGGTGGAAGGCCCACGTGGGATAAAATAGCACCTCTCTTCCAGTCAGCACCCGTTTGCCAGCCATATGAGCAAGCTATTCAATGCTTTGAAAGTGGATCTTTATTTTCAACCAAGCTTTCAGATGACTATACCCCACCCCAGGCAACTTTTTGAGTACAAAATCAGTTGAGCTGTTTAGTTGACAGAACTTGAACCAAAGTTAATCAAGTATAGTTGAGAAGAGCATATATTTAGTGTTATTTTAAGCCACTAAGTTTTGTATAATTTACTATTCAGCAAGAGACAACTAAAACATGTTTTAAAAACAATTTCCAGTGGACAGGTGCATTTGCCAGAGAACGATGGAGGGAAAGGAAAGAATTCCTCCCCTGGAGGGATATGTTCATGCCACAATCCCTTCTCCATTTCTCTATCCCAGTGTGTTTTTCAAGTCTATGAGGTCAGGATCTGGACTGTAGTTGGCTGTTTGGGATCCATTTTCCTTGACCACTAGGTCATGAACTGACCCAGTAGATTTTAGATACTGCCACAACAAAAAAGCTAATAATGGAGTGGTTTTGAGACTGGGAATTGATTGGAAGCTGGAAGCACCTTGATGTGAGTGTTGGTGAACAGGCTTTAGATAATACTATTAGTAGGTCCCACAGTGTCACATCAACAAGGGGACTCACTGCAGAAAAGAAGGCACACAGATCAACCATGGTATGCACTGGTCTATCACATACATCCAGAACCTGCCAATTCAAAGAAGAAAAAAAAAAGAGAGAAAAGGCCAGCTAAAGATATATTTGAGGTAAGTGCTTGAAAAAGAAAACTTGAGAGAATGAGGTGCCATACTCCAGGATGCAGAATGTACAATAAAGCAATGACCATTATATGGTGCTGTGTCTTCGACAGGTGAGATACATGTTTTGAAACCAAAAGGTAGAAACAGCAGTGGTCCTACTTACTAGTACTTCCAGTGATCCAGCTGGGGAATTTGTGTTCCTGTTACCCTAACCATGACCTTCGAGAGATTATGATCCTTAAAAGAAAAACACATCAAGAGTCCCTTTGATCTATAAATGGGTTGCCTACCAGCACTTTGGGCCTCTCATGCCAAGTGACTAATAGTCAAGAAAAGGAATCCTGACAAAGGGCAATGGACTCTGATCATCAGGAAGTAGGGAACATGGATATTACATAGTGAGAACAGGGTAGAAAACATGTGGTACTCGCATGATCCACTTGGATGTCTGCACTGCCCAGATACCCTCTGGACTGGAAAACTGGAGAGTTATGGAGAAGTATGTTATGTCATTGAGAGATGCAGCAAACATCCCTCTACAATTACATTTGTGTAATTGGCAACCTAAATCTAATGACTGGTCAATGTGGGGGCATTAAGGCCCTATTCTTCAACTTGAGTAACCCTGTAGGGCCACTCTGGTCCGTAAGTTTCTCATAAGGTCTCTGGAGCCGTTGAAGTAATTGCACTGAAGTTTATCCTCACCTCTGCCCAATCTTTCCAACCTTTCCTTCCCTAGGTGCTGGTCTTGAGAACATGCCTTAAACTTTCTATTTTCTAATCAAGAACTGCTTCCTGGGAACTGAATTCTGCAACATGACCTTGGAGCTAAGAACAAAAAGATGAAAATTAGCCAGATAGTTAAAAAAACAAACAAAACTGAGGACGATAAATTCAGAGATGGGAAAATATTTAAAGCCTTGAAATGAGAAGTTTCATATATTATGGACCAAGGAGAAAATAAAACTTGGAATGAACAAAGCAAAGAGAAAGAGTTACATGAAATGGGTTGGAAGATAATAGTTATAGTGTAAATCATGCCAATGATCTTGTAGGCTATGATAAAATGGGCTATATTTTTAAAATATCAAGTCATTGTACAGTGATTGAATGCATAAAAGAAAATTAAAGTTGTCATTGCAGGCATTTTGAAGGAGAGATGTATAATCTGATATATATTTTGAAACAACCACTCTGGCTATTCTGAGGGGTATGAATGGAAGAAAAGACAAATTAGATTTTCATAAAAGCTCATGTAAGGTATGACGGTATCATGGATTAGACTGGTGACAGTGGAGGTAGAAGTATAGTGAATACCTGGTATGTAGAGAAGAATATATAGTATACTTCAAAATAGTTTGGAATAAGACCTTAAAAGACTTGTACATAGGTTGTATGTGTTACTGAGGGAGAAGGAGGGAATTAATGTGGTCTTGGTTTTGTGGCTGAGGAAATGGGTGGTTAGCAGAACAATTTATGAATATTGGCAACACTGAGGGAGGATTTGTTATAGGAGAGAGTGTTGAACTGTGTTGTGTAAAATTATTGGTTCTTTAGGTCCAGATCTGTAAGATTAGAGACCCTTCCTGAGATGCAAAATGAAAAATCACAAACACTTGTGAAGTAAGAAAAGGGACGTTTTAATAGGAAAGTGAGGATTTTTAATAGAAAAAATGTACGCCTCCAGGGCTAAAAGGCATGCAGGTGGGCAGTTGCTAAAGGACAACTGCACTGGGCCTGAGGTTAGGTGTTACATTTATTCTAAGAGTTGATAACTAATATTTAGCACGGGAAGGTCTGTCATAGTATCTCGCTTCTTTGAATTCACAAGTTTTTCCTGTTTGCATATCTCCCTCATAGTGAGGAATTTTATTACCTAATTGTGCATCCTCTGTGTGGATTTAGAATGTATGAGCATCCTTATTTGGATGAATTGCCCAATTAGTTTTATCGCCGCAGTGGGAATCAGAATATTGACCAAAATGTCTTGTTGGGTCCTTTTGTATTTATGGGGAATGATAAGAGGGAGACTAACAATCATCCCTATATGCTTTTCTTAGGTACTAAAGAAAAAAACGAGTTCTGCCTCGTCTTCCAGGTGCCAGAAGCAGGGTAGAAGGAAAGAAAGTATTTTCATGGAGGGTCTGGTTTTAACTCCTGATAGGATGTGATTGATATGGCTGATAGCTTTCTGCTAGTTTCTTAGGGCTGCCTGCTCATTTCTACCTAACTGCCTATCACAGATTCTAGGATTTGTTTGGTTAGTTTATTATAATAGTTGCTTTTAAGTAAAGGTTTGGGAATTTAAGAGTTCCATTTTAGACCTAGGCAGTTTAAATGTCGATTCCAGTAGAAATTTCAGATAGGCAGTTACTCGAGTCTGATACTTAGGTCTAGGGAGAAGATAAGATGAAGACACCTAGTGACAAAATACGTACCATAGTTTGTGGTATGTGTGTACGTATGTATAAATAAACATTTTCCTTTTCGTTATGGAAGATATTTGCCTTTATTCACCATCAGTGGGTTTTGTTGGAAGGAATAGATGCTTTAATTTAACTAAAATCTCACTAGCTTATGTAGTGTCCATGTCTGTACCTAGTAAACAAATACGTATTTACTATCTCTCTCTGAAGGTATCTATATTTTCTTAAGTTTCAGACTAGTTGGTTTCCTGGAAACCTCGCCTCTTTGATGAGTTCAAGAAAAGTTATTATTTATAGATTACTCAGCTTCTACTTGTTTCTAGAGTGAAAACAACTATCTTTCCAGCTTTTTCGTCTTAAGCAAAAGCACATAAAAAATTGAGATGAACATCCATATGTAGAGATTCAATTGGCAGCTCTCAAATTAGGAATAAAAACATTGACTGAAGAAGACTGTGGGATTTTCAGTTTCAAGGTGGTAATACTTGTTCTCTGAAAGTGATTGTGATTTATGTATAAAGTTAGTGTTTGTGGTTTTTTTCCCCCCACAGGTATTCCGAGGAAAGAAAACTACCAAATTGGCTATCAATAATTTGCTCTCTTTCCCGCCCTCCCTCTCTTGTTAAAATAAATAAAATAATTGAAAAAGATCACGCATGAGTTTCAAAATTATTTGCACCAAAATAAACATACTGTTATTTAATTTTCCATGCTATTTTAAAGAAAATTATTTTTAATTATTAATTTTATTTATTTTTAAATTTTCTTTTTTTTTTTTTAAAAGTATTTGCTATAAGGCGCACACGCTCACCAGAAAGACAGAGAGAAACAGAGAGAGAGAAAGTGAGAAATCACTCCCCAGGGCGGGTGGCCACACTGCAATCCCTTATCCTCCATTCTGCTCTCAGGATCTTGGACATGCACACACATGCCTGGCACGAGTTTAAGCCACTGGGTCCAGGACTTGAACTGTGGTCCACTACATGGGAGTTCGGCGACATAGCCATTATGCTAACTGCTGGCCCCTATTTTTAAATTTTCTATAAGGGCACGTATGCTCACCAGAGAGAGAGAGAGTGAGAAAGTACGCTGCCACCAGGTCTGGGTCTTAAATCATGGTTGACCATGTGGGAGAGCACCTCAATTACCATGCCACCTGCTGGCCCTTCCATACTATTTTTGAAGCCTTCTCATATTTGGATGGGCTAAGAGTACATTACATAATGATAAAAAGGTTACTCAACCAAGAAGACATAACATTTCCTAATATGTATGCATCAAACAACAGGGTTTCAAAATACTTAGAGCAAAAACTGACAGACTTGAAAAGAGAAATAAACATGTTTGTGATTATAATTGGAAATTTTAATGGCATTCTGGCAGCAATTGATAGACCAATAGAAAAATTAGTAAGGATATTGAAGATCTTAGTACGAGGATTAGCCAACAAGATCTAGTCAATATTTATAGAAAACCCCACCCAATAACAGGAGAACATACATTATTTTCAACCATCCTAATTGCCCAAAGATACCATAACCTGGGCTGCCCCTGGAAAGAAGTAGAGCCAAGTAATGCAAGTTTTATAGGCAGAAAGAATGATTCTAGACTGAAACTCAGATTGATAAGAAGGAATGAAGAGCACCAAAAATGATAAATTTGATAAACATAAGAAACAGTTAAAAAAAATTCCTATGTGTAAAAATTTCTTTAGAGGACTACTGAATAAGCAAAAACTAGTAGCATTTTGATTCATTGGGCTCATCCCAGTAAAACAAATGAAACCAGTGAAAACAACAAAAATCCTGGTAATTTAGTCTCTGAAATTTGTCTTAATGGCATACAAAAAGAGAAAAAATATATATTCAAAGAATCTATAAAAACTTGGTAATAACAGTAAGAATCTATGCAACCTGAGCTACATTTTCTCTCTCTTCAGCCCTTGGAACTCAGCTTGATGGTAGCTCCACTGTAGGTGTGTATGGTCAAAAACTAAAGGGCCCCTTTTCCCTTCACTTCCAAATCAGAGGTGACCTCATCTCACTGGAAGGAGCATGCTTCTAGAAACTTTTATTTCCTCAATTCCAAGTTGAAGAAGTTAAATTTCTTGTGAGTACATACAGGAAATTGGACTTCATTATCCATTAATCTCTTCCCCATAGGATGGGCTGGATGAGAATATTGGGCCCCCAGTTTCACTTGTCAGCTTACTCTTAAGACTGATGGTCCATATTAAGAGAGGCCAATCAAGAAAGTCAGAGGCTACTGACTACCCCTTTGGGAATACCAGAAGGGGAGGAGAAAGAGAAGCAGGGGTGAAAATCTGAGATTTTGTACAGAGGAGAGGTAATAAAAAAAAAAAAAAAAAAAAAAAGGAGTTCTAAATTCTCCCTAAAATAACTGATCTTATGTAAAGAAAGCATGAAGAAGTTCAAGACTAAAGATACTCTTGAAAGAAATCTCTCTTTTTAACCGAGACTAACAAGGTAAATAACAGGTCAGCCAGTTCTCTCTGTAAACTAGAGAAAGATACAGCTAAGATGGGCCTTCCTGAGGTCAGAACAAAACTCAAGAGACTTTTTTTAAAAACTACCCTTGCAGAATTTAGTTGAACCAGGCCATTGAAAAATGTATGCCCCCTAGGTAATTATTGAAAATTACAGAATGATTATCCCATAAATAGTGCAATGTAATTGCTGATGTAATACTAAATGAAGCAGAGACCATAATAGACAAAAAGAAAGAGCTGATGAAAGAGAAACATGCTTAAAATGCCATCATCTGGGGGCTCAGCATTTACATTGCTGGAATCCCACATGGCCCACCACCATTCAAGTCCTGAACCTGATGGCTTAAAATTCAGGCTGAGCACATGTGCGTGCATGCCCAAAGATCATGGGAGAAAAATGGAGGAGAAGGGATTGCAGCATGACCATTCCCCCTTGGGGGTGATTTCTCATTTTCCCTCTCACTGTCTCTGTCTCTTTCTCTCTGGCAAGCACATGGGCCCTAGACCTCTACAAAAATGAAGGAAGGAAGGAAAGAAGGAAACCATTATCCCAAAGTACATTTGTGAAAGGTTATACCCTCTAAGAAGTTACACCAAAGACCACACTGGAGATAAAATAGAATTTGCTAAAAATATTCTAGTCAAGTCGCAAAACATGACAGTAAAAACAATCCCTCAAGAGGGTTAAGGGAAATCCATACAAAAGGTTACAACAATGGGTTACTATAAAATACATCATAAAACATCAATTTCAACAAAAATTGAGGCAAACAAAAATAAAAATGTGTGATTTATACCCTGGGTGGAAAAAAAAAATCTAGCAACAATTATTTCCTATGAAAGATAGGTACCACATGTCAGATTTTATGAGACATCAAAATAACCATTAGAAAAATATTCAAAGTAAAGGAATCTGATTAAAGAAATGAAGATATGAAGACAATATTTTGTTAGATGGAATATATCAGCAAAAAGGGGGTCAAAAAAAGAACCAAGTGGGGATTCTGAAGTAAGTATAATAGCCAAAGTGAAATAATCACTAAAGGGACTCAACGAGAGTTATGAATTGGCAGAAGAAAGAGTCTGTGAACTTGAGATAGATTGAGATTACGCAATCTGAATAATAAAAAAGAATGAGGAAAAGTAAATAGCATAAGAGAAATATGGGCTAGCTTTAAGTAAAGCAGTATACATGTAATATGAGTGCCAGAATGAAAGAAAACATAAAAAATGTAAGAAATAATGGTTTAAAACTCAAAGCTTCTGAAAATATTAATCTATCATACCAAGCAGCTCAACAAATTCCATATAGGATAAATGTATTTTCACATCACAGTGAAAAATTTGAAAAGCAACATCAAAGAGAAAATCTTGAAGGCAACAAGAGAAAAAGGACTTGTCTTATATAACAGAGCCTCAATAAAACTAATTTCTGACTTTCTACCAGACACAACGAAGGCCAGAAATCAATAGAATGACATTTTCAAAGTACTAGATAAAAAAAAAACCTGTCAACCAAGACTCTTACATCTGTCTTTCATATATGAACATTAAATAAAGACATTCCCAGATAAGGAAAATCTGAGTGAATTCATTGCTAGCAGATCTTTCTTTTTATTTTTTTATTTTTTATTTTTTCGAGTTTTTTGCTATAGGGCATGTGTGCTCGCCAAAAAGAGAGATACAGACAGAAAGCAAGAAATCATTCCCCAGGGGGGATGGCAACACCGCAATCCCTTCTCCTCCATTCTCCTCTTGGGATCTTGGGCACGCCATGAGCTTAAGTCACCAGGTCCGGACGTGAACTGCGGTCAACTACATGGGAGTCCAGCAACATAGCCATTATGCTAACTGCTGGTCCCAGCACATCTTTCTTAACAGAAATACTCAAAGATGTTTTTTAGGCTGAAAGCAAGTAAACCCAGATGAAAATTTGAAACACACACACCAGCACCAATAAAGTTAATTATGTAATTACAATATATAGCATAAATGTGTGTTTATTATTTAATTCAAAAGGCAATTGTATGAACATACATTTGAAGGAATTTTGAAGCACTTACAGAAAAGTGAAATTAAAGTGCAAGTTTACTTTGTGCAAAAGTTTTGAAACTCATCCGTAGTTTCTTCACCATATATTTTTTCATATACTGTTGCATATCACTCATGTTCTTGGGCTTGCAATGTATAGAGGAGTAATCTATTTAACAATAACAGCACATAGAAAGTATACGGTAGTCTGTTTTTACTTTAACAATAACAGCACATAGAAAGTATATGGTAGTCTGTTTTTAAATATGAGTAATGAGTCATTGGGTAGAAAGTGATATTTTCTCCCCATTAAACAACCAGTATCACAGATGTGGATAAATGTTATGTATTTTCAGATTATTGTTGCTTACTACGTGTTATCTGACCAACTAGAATTTAAAGTCTTCAAGGATATCAGGTTTATTGTATGGACTATCAGGGTTTTTTTTTTTTTCTATTTATTTCTTTGTCATTTTGTGAGTTTTCAGGTTTTGAAAGAGTCTACCACAATCCAAGGCAGTGCATGACCTATAACATAATTTATAGAGGTCAAATGACTGATGGCAGTACTGAAATGTTCTAGTATAAAACTCGTGTTTTATTACCAAAATGATTTCCACCCACTGAGAATTAGGACATATAGTTTTAAAAATACAAAAGAATTTCTAATCTCATGATCTTAACAACTTCTAGAATTTCTTCTGTTAGATATTAGAACTGTTGCTCTCATCTCAAAGGTGAGATGTTAATGAGAAATTTCTTACCCTGTTTCCACACCAAAGCAAAATTTCTGTTATGTCTTCTGTTTGATTCTAGGTCTCTATCCTTATACTAGTGGAAATGCCTATATTAATGGATATGACATTTCAAAAGAGATGACTGAGATCAGAAAATCCTTGGGCTTATGTCCCCAGCAGGACCTGTTGTTTAATTACTTGACAGTATCAGAACACCTTTATTTCTATTGTGTGGTGAGCCCAAGATATCTTCCTTTTCCCCACTCTGTTCAGTACTTCAGGCAGTTTACCAAATACCAATATCTTTATTCTTCTAAAGTTTAAAAGTTTATTTTTGGTGAATTATTTTTTAAACATAAAGAGAGACAAAGGGAATTAGGCACTACATAGCTTATGTAAGAAAAGAGCCTATGGGGACCAGCAGTTCCCGTAACAGCTATGTCGCTGGACTCCCACGCAGTTCACCGCAGTTCACGTCCCAGACCCGGTGGCTAAAAACTCACACCAGGCGTGTGTGCATGCGTGCCCAAGATCCCAAGAGGAGAATGGAGGAGAAGGGATTGTGGAGTGGCCATACCCCTGGGGGGTGATTTCTCGCTTCTGTCTCTCTGGCAAGCACATGTGCCCTATAGCAAAAACCTCTTAAAAAAAAAAAAAAGAGAGAGAGAGAGAGAGAGAGAGAAAAGAAAAAGGAAAGAGCTTATGTAAAATGTTTCTAAGAATAAAGTCAGAAACACCAGGTACATTCTGGTTCCTCTTTCTAGGTAAAAGGAATACCCGGAAATATGTGTCCCACAGAAACAGACCGCATGCTGTCTGCTTTTAACCTGCTAGACAAACGTGATGCATTTTCAGTGTCACTAAGTGGAGGAATGAAGCGCAAACTCTCTATCATTATAGCACTTATAGGAGGCTCTAAGGTAAGAGAAGGGGGCGTGGGAGAGCACACTAAAAACAGATCCTCACTGCACACTGCAGCTGGTCTTAAAAAAAGAAAATCAGCTGACACAAACCTGAGCTCCAATAGGGATGTAACACTCTGTAAGGAACCTCTAAATAGAAATCAGATGGTCACATTATTGACCTCATTTACAGAAAATGACCACAGGTTTGCAATTATTCCAGCATTCATAATTCAGTTTTGCTTAAACTTATTTTATTAGTTTAGTTGGACAAGTTACTGAAAAGGCAAAACCAGAGTAAGCCCCATGACTGGTGATACACTAGCCCTAGTGGCACCAGCACATAATATTTAACAATGGTGTGGAATTGTTCTTCTGGTCTTTAGGTGGTGATACTTGATGAGCCAACGTCTGGCATGGACCCAGCCTCAAGGAGAGCCACCTGGGATCTCCTCCAGCAGTATAAAGAGAATCGCACCATCTTACTGACCACCCACTACATGGATGAAGCTGACATCCTGGGTGATCGCATTGCCATCATGGTCAGGGGATCTCTGCGGTGCTGTGGCTCTTCAGTCTTCCTGAAAAAAATATATGGTCTCTTTTCCTTTCGTCATTCATAGGATACTGATGTTTTACTAATATTCTTCTAATGTAGTATTTCTTGTTTTTGTCTATCTACCTAAAATTTCAATGATTCCCTCTGTCCAAATAATTATAGTCCAATAATGAGCACTTTGAAATAATGATATTTTCCTAATCAATTCAAAATTATTTCCTACCGTTATGTTTTTTGTGTTATCCTAAGTTAATATTTATTTATCTTAGGCGGCTTTCACTTCATTTGTAATTTGCTTGAATGCAATTGTGCCTTCAACAAAATGCATAGGTGAGAAGGTAGGTAGGTAGATAGGAAGATAGATATTTGAGGAGTCTTCAAAGAGTTCATGGAAAAATGTGTATCATGAAAAACTGTCCATTTTAAATTTTTTGCACCAAAATAAACCCACATTGGTACTTTAATTCTATTTTTCCTTGAACTTTTTGATGTCCCCTCATACATAAGTAGCTAAATGATGGATGATGATAGATAGATTGATGGAGTATAGGGAAAATATTTTTAAAAAGTATGTCTACTTGTTTCTGGTTTGCAAACCAGCATTAAATTGCTTCAGTATGAACAGAATAATTCATTTTAATCTGAAGAATAATTTTTCTAACCATGGAAAATACCAGATGTGTCCTAATCACTTTCCTACCTCATTAGGCCATCATTAAAAAAAAAAAAAATTACCTATGTATCAGTGCTTTTAGGCTCTTTAAATAAATTTTCAGTATCTTCAATATTTCATATTTCTTCCCATTTTTTTCTTAAGCACTAACTTAACAAAATATATAATTTATTTATCACCTTGTTTATTTCCCTTTTCTAGAATAAGTGTTTTTTTGTTGTTAAAATAAATCTTTTTTTAATTTATTTGTTTACATTCATTCACTATACATCATTACAGCATACAAAATGAGAATTTCCATCCAGAGTACACTGTATATTGTCTCAATCAAGCACATCAACATACATGTTATTGTCAACAAATAATTTTCCATTTCTTGTTTCCTGTATATTTTGCCTTTTTCCCCATCTTTGATTCCCTATCTCTTACCCTCTGCCATCTCCCACTCTCCTCCCACACTGTCTCTGGTA